GTTTAAAATTTCGTAAACTGAAAAAAAAATGCCAAAAAACTCGCAACCCTCCCATAATCCACGTTAACCGCCGGTAATTAAAAGTTCTCATATGTCAGAGAAATAGAAGAGAAAAAATGTGATCTAGCGCACGCGTAGACTTCGTGTAGGCCACGAACATGTACGGATTTTCGAATGAAAAAAAAAAAACACACGGCAGAGGTTCGTGTGTATTACACGTATGTGATTTGTGATCGCATCCATGATCAAATCTCAAAGTCACCTACGCGTGAAAATAATTTCACCGAGAAAATTTTTTTTAACAAAGTTGTCGCTAGAAAAATATATTTCTTTTTCTAAGTAAGTCTTTTAACCTAGCTTACAATAATACGATATTTTTATCAGTGACTATGCTTCGTGTATCAGTGATAAAACGCTTTCCATCATGATAATCCTGACAATTTGCTTATTGTTCAATAGAATATTATGTTCATTCAAGCGAGATTTCACTTTAACAACGACTATAAATTTATAAACTTATATAAGTGCTTTACTCGATATTCCCCCTTTTGAAGTGGTGAGACGTCATCGTAACATATCCGAGATTATTCCATTTCCATATTAGTAAACCAAAGGAACGCTTGCATTAAAACTTGACTATTACTACCAAAGCCTTAGTTCCACAACTGCATTATGTATATATTGAATTAACGTTAAAGTTACGCATAAATCTGAAATAGTGCTTCGTCAACTAAAATCAGCGACGCGTTTTAAAAAAAAAACAAATCTTGATATTTGATCTTATGAAAAAATCCAGTGGTTAACGGTTATAAATATAGAAATAAAAAAGCACAATTATGCGACAAATCGATTAATAATCATGTCATCTTGCGCAGTGATTCCTAGAAATCACGTCCCTAAACTGCACTCGGCAAATTTTAAAGCATTACGCGTACGTGGTCCGTACGAGTATATTCTCGGCGAAGTATGAAAGCGCTGCCCTGACGGAAATGACCTCTATCTCTCTCGCTATGAAGGTCAGAACCCGAAAGCGTTTACGCTCGTCGAAAATTTTCGAGACCGAATTAGAATTGATGGAAATTTACGAGGTAACCTTGAATACCAGTCTATTTTTATGTATAAATTGTTTACTCGAAATTGTTCTTTGAGTGATATTCTATGCAATTAGACTGACGAAGAAGAGCTAGAGTTGAGGATAATCATAAGTAGTATATATTAGGAACTTACACACACTCGATTGTTCTTTCTCCAGATTGGAACTTATGATAATTATTATTAACCAATAATTGCTATTAGCGAATAATAGCCAAATATTTTCTTTACTCTTTTCATGGATTTAAAAAAATCAAAATTTATGATTCAGTTCAAAAAATGTTTCAGTTGTATTTAATAATCATAATACGTAAACTATATATTAACAACTAACAATAAAACAAATAAATAAAGAAACAATAGATAATATAGTAAATAAATAAGTTTTTACAATAGAACAAAAATATGTTAAATTATTTTTATAAAGAAATGAAATATGCTGTGACAACGACATTTTTAAGATACGATTACCGGTTCAAAAACTATATAGAGTTCCATGAGAATTTAACATTTTGATTTTTTTATTATTATTTTGTTGTTAATAAAACATATTTTTCAGTTTTTTTTTTAGTACGCAATAGTACATTACGATACAAGTACGGGAAGGTAGATTCTTGTCTCGTGTGGCGTTTACGCCCGAGCGAAGCGAACATGTGTCGTACCGTATTTTTTGATACAACGTGTGGAAAGTGCGATTTTCAACGCACATTTTCTACCGAGCGTGCGGGAAAGACGCACTTTGCGTACGGAGTGTCGAAATAATTTCTTTTTAAAAGCTTTGAACTCACAGAAGACGATTACCTTGGAATTTTAAAGCTGCGATAATTTTCTGCCAAGATATAAAACTTTTGTGCCTTCCAGATTTTTTCCTAAAGTTGGGCAAAAGCATGTGACGGAAAGTGTATATCCTTTTACTCTATGTCAATAAAACTCTATTATCGATATGTTATTTCTTTTGCGACGTTACCCTATCTTTAATCTATCATGATTAATAATCGAAATATCGTAGAAATTCAATACCAGACTAGAGGTAAATCATTACAATGAGTATATATACCTTGTAGAATTTGGTATATTCTAGTGATTTTGACACTTGTAGTCATAAATCATTATTTAGGTTCTTCGCGAACAAATGTAAATTTCTAAAACGTGCATCGACTCGAATTTGTAATATTTGATTGGAAGCATTTTTCGTTAAAATAAACTTTTTTAACTAAATGATTTTATGAGACATTTGTTAAAATATAACAATCCATGAAAATCAACAAATTAAAATTACTTATCTACTCGTGGAATTTTTTTCAGATTGGCAAACAGGGAAAGAATGAACTGAAAAAAGCGTGCACATGAGAAGAAAAGAAGCGACGTAACGATCCACAAAAAAGGACGGTCAACTTATTTCTCATCGGTATGTCTCTTGTTCAGTCATCCGCTTGTTGATTTCAAAATTCTTTTGCAAACTGTCCTTCAAGAATGTTGCATCGTTTTCAAACTCCACTTTCAACTTCATATCTGCACGCGTGTGTTTGTACGATTGGTTTAATTTAGTTTTAAAAGGGAGGAAAAAAATAACTTGCAAATCTGTTATTTGAAAATGGCTTTCCTAGGTGTAACTTTGAAAAGAGGAATATCTCTTTTAGCATTATTTGCCTTGAAGAAAAGATATTTAACACGATTCTTGATTTAATATTTAACGAAAAAGTAACATTGTTCTTTTCGGTAAAATGTAGATGATATTTTGCAAATTTAATTAAGAAACGAATACGCAATATTGGAAACTTAACTCTAATCATCACAGAAAATTAATTCTGTAAAAAAAGCCTTCAAAGTTCGTAAAAAAGAAAAGAACTTGCGACGGGGGAGAGGGAGGGGAAAAATAAAAGACGGTATTTCTCCTGATCTCGCGCTGTCGCCAGCGGCGCGCAGTCAGCCGAGACGACGTGTGCAGCTTTATTTTATTGAGTTGGGCGCCAGCTACCGTGCTCTCGCGTTAGGAGAACGTGGTAGCGCTGCAACGTCGGCTGGTTCTCGGCTCGGTGGTCCTGCTGGTCGCTGTGAGGTCGGGTGGTTTCCCCGTCGCCTCCCTCCTTGTCGCCGTCGGTGTTCTTGCGCGCGTGGCCGACTATCACCTGTGGAGGATGAAGCAGGGGCGCGAAGTCCTAGGCGACGATTCGGTCAAGTCTAAAGCGGAAAGACGTATCGAGCGAAAGGGGAAAGGGGGGCAACGGGTGGTTTCCAAGGCCACCCACGGCTGCGGCTCGTTCGGCTAGCTAGATGTTTCGGGGCATGGCGGCTCTCAATCCCAGAAGCGGGTACATCGAGGGGGGCGTCGCAGGGGCGCTCCGGTTGGCGGCTAGTGGTTCGGGGGATGATGACTCCTTCCCTGGACTGGTGGCGTAGTGGCTGCGACGGTGGCTATCGGTTGAGCGGTGATCAGGGCAGTCGGGAATTCGCGCACGCGTTTACCGATCTCAAACCGGTCGCGAAAGCTACGGGGGATGGGGCGATCAAGTGGGTGTAGTCAATAATAAGTCGGATATAAAGAAAATTCGGATTTATTATGCAAAAGAAACCCAGGTCTACCCCAGTGGTCTACCCCTAGCGATGGTCAGCCTGGTCTAGATTACTGGGGGAACGCGGGTGGCGTACTACGGCGCGAAGTCAGCTTAGACGGACAATAACTCGGTTGAATGTTTCGGGCTTCGGCTATGATTCGAATACGTAACGTCGGTTTATCTATTCGCGGCGAAAATTCCAGCTCGTTCAAAACAATTGCGCTCAGGAATTCGGTCGGTCGCGCGAAGGTTGACTACCATTCGCGGTGTTGACGTTACGTATAGCGATGCTTGCGAACAAAATAAAGGCGACGATGTACCTGAGTTTTGCCGGTCGGATGAAGGTCTAACGCGACTCGTGTGATGTTTGGATCGACTCGGAAAGGAATTTCAAGGGCGCACACTCAGAAAACTCGTTGCACGGTTGATAGCAACACGGCGACTCGAAACTATTCCCGAAAGGTCGGTGGCAAAACCATATAAAGCAACGGTGACGGGCGCGCGAAGGTCATGCGGGGTTCCGCGCGCGAACATTCGGCGGTCAGGCGACTATTTCAGGTGCGGGACAAAGAACGACGTGACAAAAAAAAACTTGGGGATAACGGCAAACGTTTTCGGTCAAGGCGTAATGCGCGCGGAGGTCATGCGGCACTCCCGAAAACGCGGCGGTCGGCAATGCGCGACAAACTCGCGGTTATCATTCATGCAAAGAAATCGGCAGTAAAAGGGTACTTACTCCTGGTAGATTTTGGCCGATTAATGCTCTGTTTGTTATCGTTATTCCGCTATTTTATCCTGTTATCGTTATTATCGTTATTTTATCCTGTTATCGTTATTATCGTTATTATCTATTATCGTTCTTCTGTTATGCCTATTTCTCTCAATATCTTTTGTACTATTTTCACTTTCACTATCTCTTGCCTACCTCCTTCACTATTTCTTTCGTATTCACTCTCGCTTTTCTTTCCCCTCTTTTTTTTTGTTTCCACTTTTCACTTCTACTTTCTTTTCTAATTCTCACTCCTGCTTCTTTCTAATTCTCACTTCTGTTTCTTTTCTAATTCTCACTTCTGCCTCTATTCTAATTCTCACTTCTGCTTCTATTCTAATTCTCACTTCTGCTTCTATTCTAATTTCTGCGTACCGCGCAACGGCGAGGCTCGGCGGACTTCCTACCGTCGAGGCTTAACGGTTACTGGCGCGCCGTTTTTCGGCGACGCACCGCTTCTCCTAGTTTACTTCCCCTTCGTTGTTGCCGATTGGCTAGCTTGTTGCTAAGCCAGGTCTCAGCGCCGTCTATATTAACGTTTTTTTACCCGCGCAATTTATTTATTGGTCGGTCCTTCGCGCCTAATTTGCCTACTGGCCGCGAAGATAGCGTCGGTTTTCCCTCATTAGTTCGACCACCCCTAAGCTGATAACGATTGGTCAGTCAACTAGCGTCGCTTGTCTATCTTCTTCTATCTACCGCTCGTTGGTCTTACCGATTCCCCTCGCTCGCTTCCGATCGGTCTAGCATCGGCGGTCTCGCTCGCTCTCACGCGCTCGGTCGCTCCTACCTTTAGTCTAGCTAGGCCTGCCTTAACTAACGGGGGCTTGCGATCAGCTGATCGCGACTGAAAACTTTAGGGGCTTCTAGCTCCCCGGGGGAGGGTCGGATCGGGTCGTGAGTGCGCGAGGGGTTGTACGCGAGCGTAAGGGTCGTGCGAATCGGTCAGGGAGGTTTCTAGAGGTCGTAGTTCGCGAGATCCGGGAGTGCGTGGGCGGGTGTATGTAGTCGTGGCTGTTCTGTCATAGTGCCGGTAATATATATTTGTGTGTGATGACGCATCATCACATAGCCCCCCACTAATCCGGTGCATACACATGCACCGTGATTCGTCGGTCATCGCGGGTCTACTGATGATCTGCTCACACCTGGTCCTCGGCTACTGATTTAGTGACCTGAAAGGGGGTGTTTAAGGGATCGGATTAGGGTTAAATAAGAGTAGTCAGATGTGATTAATAGGCCCGGAGGCCGCGGTTTATTATTCTTAATCGCTACTGGATTCTCTGCCCCGATTCAAACTGCGGTTTCTTCTAACCTTCTCTAAATTTCGGCGTTCTGCCGCGGCCATAGCCTCCACGGCTTGACGAAGTTTATCCAGTTCCCTCAGGCGGTCCTCGATGTCTTGTGCGGCTTCAATGTGCGGTCGGCTGTGGCTGGGGTTGTGACGGTTCTGGCGTCTATATTCAGGGGGGCGTGGGATAGCGCCGGTTGATGGCCCCGGTCGATTAATGGTGGCTGGTTGCACCACTTCGTCGTAGGAGGGAGGTGGGGCCTCTGGATGTGCCACGTGGTGCGTCAGTCGGCCCGCGGTTGTCCTGTCCTGGCGATGCCAATATTCCTCTGCGCATCTTGGGCAGTTTTCGACCCCCACCCCTCTCCGGCCACAGTTGCCGCAATATTGGTTGGCTTCCGTTGGACGCGGGCAGGTCCGGTAGCTGTGTCCGGGCATCCAGCAGTTAAAGCAACTGCGGCCAGGAGGGTCTATGGTCGGGTCTGTAGGGATGGCTCTTAGATTTCCGAAGCCTGCTCCGGTATCTCTGGGGCGGGCTTCGTAATTTATCCAGGGGCGGATGCCTCGAGGTGGTGATGTGCGGGTTGGGGGACCTGGTTCGTCGCTGGATGCGTCCGAACGGTCCATCACGCTCACCAGGTCATTATATTCCAGGTGCCTCCGAAGGTTGTATCTTCTCCTCCGGCCATTTTCCCCCCTTATCCTCCTTTCCTCGATTCCGCGGATTAGGGTGGCCCTATCGTCCGTGTTTGTGACCGGTAACCATCCCGGGTGAGGATGGTGTTGCGACGATCTCTCGGTTTGGCTCGGTTTCGGGTCCTCCTGGCTATCCTCGGGCTGGTCTCCCCCCCGGATAGCAGGGACTACCGTCGCTCTCGTGGTCTCCGGGGTCGGGTCTCGGCTGGTCGGTCTGGTTTCGTCCGTGGGGCTATCTAATCCTTCTCCTCTTGTAAGGAGGACTATTCCCGACTCGTCTGAGCTCTGGCCGCTTCCTGAAGGTTGGTTTCCACCCGTTTTCTCGATGAGGCCTGCCAGGTGGAATATTTTTTGGTCGGCTGCAGTTTGTTCCGCCGGGGGAACCAGGGCCGCTACCCTTTTTGCTGCCAGGGTAAGTCGATCCTGCAGTCCGAGGCGAGCCTTTTCTTTCAAAATCTCCTCCTCTATCTCCATTATATAGGAGGAGGTCGAGAACGAGGGGGATGGCGCTGTTGCCCTCTGGTCTTGTCGGTCGTGGTCATCTTCCTCATCTGAGGATATAATGACGAGCTCTGGTTTGGGTGGTGGGCCGTCCTCTGTTGGCCGGAATTCCAATTCTGGCCGGTGGTGGAGGGGCCGTCGTGTGCGGGTTCCAAATTTGGGAGGCATGGTCAAGCCTGTAAATCAGAAGGTCTTAGTTTTCGGTCAATAGGGGAGGTCTATTAGTCAAGGTCATCAACCAGCACCAATCGTGCGATGTTAGTCTGGTTAGTTAATTAGTTTGTTACGCGACCTACATCTCCCCCCCCCCTTTGTAAAACTAGAGAGGCTTGTCCTTTCTAGTTCTCGATTCCGCATGATTTTCGGGGCGTGATCTTATTCGTTTAGGTTCTGTGGTCTTAGTTACGCGGTGGTCGTTCGGTAACTAACTTAACATTTACCGGATTTTCTCCTTTATAAGGTTTTAATTGGGTAACGTGGACTTTTCCTATTTCCTTGCCGGACGTATTCTCGATAATGTACACGTTGTCTGATAGCTGTTCCTTTATCCGGAATGGTCCCTCATATTTCTCGGCTAATTTCGCCGAGAATTGGTT